TAACAAAAAAAAAAAAAAAAAACTCCGTGACCTGTAGTCCGCAAGTGAAATATACCGACCGAGAGATCGTCGCTTGTCGGCGAAGTTAGTGCCAACTTTTGCTGATAGAGGGTGTCACGTTGTCAGCGCAATGGATCCCCACGGCCGTTAATGTCGGTTTGCTAGAAGACCGGAGCCGCTATTTCCTTGAAACAGCTCCTCAGTTATACTTACGAGGCTGAATGGACCTAGTTTCAGACCCACTACTTCTCAGAAAATGTGATAGTGCTGGGAATCGAACCCGGGACCTCTGGATCTGTAGGCAGGAACTCTGACCACTAGACCACAGAGGCGGTCTATTATTATTTCATATACGTTTCTTAAATTTTACATTAATGTTGGCATGGCTACAACTTAAAACAAGTGATAGCTTGTACATATTCTGTAAGTCTATGTCAAGGTTTATTGAGTTTATGGTCCTTTTGAATACATGAAGGACACAAATGAACAGAGGTAAAGATGGGTCTCTACTGCCATGAGCACATTTTGAAATGATTTAAGATTATCTCTCTTAAGTGCATACTGCTTAAATTTGTCTAGATAAATTGAGGTAAAGGTGATGATTTTGTCTGATGGCTTAATAATTTCTAACAAATAACAACAATACAGTATTGTTCCTCCCTCTTGACAAACCATTAACGTCTATTCAGTAAAACGCTATTGTGAACATCTAATAATAAAACATAAATTTGTGGGTGTGTCGAGATTATATGCCTGTATGGTGGCTGGTACATTGATGCCATAGTTTCTCTGAATATAGTACCAAGAGGCCAGAGATCAAATAATCCATGGCTCTATCAAATGTCCCACCTTCCCCATTCAACCCTATATAATTGGTCTTCGGTATTTTACTCTCCGGCACTATGCTGTTAGTGACATTTTGAAATATCTATGTTGTTGTATATGGACTAAAGGGATGCATGGTAAAGTGAAAATGCAAATGGAATGAAATGAAAATTACTTCAGGGGTGGAAATTTGCTATGGGAACTAGAGTACAATAGACAATGTTTATTAATGTCTGTGAATTCAATTGTGGTGTAGAGCTATGCTAAGCACCATTTAGGGAAGGGGTTACTCAACTGTCTATGCCGGAACCACAGCCAGTGAGCCGAAGAGCGTTAGAGTGATGGAAAAATTCAGTGATGTGTAATATCACAGGAATCAATTTTTCCTTCTTGTTCGCAATTATCAGCATGGACTGAAGGTTAAATGAAATCCCATGCAAAAAACATGTTTTTATCTGGAAGGTTTTGAATTCATATTTGAACAAATTCTATAAACTAAGCAAACTTCCCATTTTTTTTTCAATTATATTGGTAAATATGGAAGGAAATTTGACATGCACTATAAATATTTGCCTTACATATGTTTATATATCTGCAAATACGAGTATATATATGACTGATGCCCTATATTCCACAATGGGCACTTCAGAGACATCATTTTGAATAACAAAAGCGTAACAGCAACTTTTCAGACTCCTTTTTGGAAGCCAGCCAGGATTTTCATAGTATTCCTCAGTCTCTCCAGTAAGATGCTGGAGAAGTACCCCGATTAGACCACTAGTTACCTTCTTCCAAATCTCATTCAATTTAACCTTCATTGATCTTTCTACCATTCCACAATATGCAGTCTAGATGCTGAAAATGTTGCTAAATAAACCATGCAAAAATAATACACAATGACTATAGCATTCTGAGATCTTCAAAAGATATAAAAGGGTTAGAAAAGTTTTGAATGAGGCTATGATTCGCTGGCAATGTAACTACAATATAACAAATGACAAATGCTTACAGAATTTTTAAGAGATCACTTGGAAATCTGAGACACTTATGAGATAGAAGAGAGAATATCTCTGTGCTGTTATAAATTTTAATTTTAATAACTGAAAATTACTTATGTAATTAGCTAGTAAAGTGGTTAATTAGCTTGGAACTCTTCAAACATTTATGAGACACAATAAGGAATACCTCTGTGTTGATATAAATTTGAATTTTAATAAATGAGAATGACTTATGTAATTAGCAAGTTAAGTGGTTAATTAGATGCTTCCCTATACTTAGACCAATGGAATAATGAGTAAAAATTTCGACCCGACCATCTGCTTGCCCCCGCAGTGTACCTTTCCCCAGGTCCATCACTGACCACCAGCTGCAGTCTCAGTCTCTCTCTCTGGCTATTTGCCTTCTAAGTTTGTGTTTTGTTATTTTGTTTAGGCAAGGAGGAGACTGAGTTGTGCAATGCAGGTAGTGTGATGCAGCAAGCCGTCAACTTAATTATACTACTACTCATGTTCAACCTTTATTTGACTCATGCTGCATAGCTGGTCGACCGTGTGGTTGCTTATTTCGTGTGCTCTTTCCATTTTTATGCACTGAAGTTGATTTATTGCTTAAGAAACTCATCAATGGGCTACTAAATCTTTAACCAGGGCCACAACATAGCTCAAGTGGTTAGTCGCTGGCTTCCCACCGCGGCAGCCCGGGTTCAATCCTGGGTCTGGTCAAGTGGGATTTGTGGTAGACAAAATGGCACTGGTGCAGGTTTTCTCAGAGTACTTCGGTTTCCCTTGCCAATCTTCATTCCACCAATTTCTATACAATCACCCTCACCTATCATCTGGGGCTGGTACAATAGGCCAGAAGTGGCCGCAGTACAAGGGACTTAGTCCCACCCCACTAGAAACCTTTAACCATATATAAAACCTCTTTTTATTGTTACTATAAGACGTGCATGAACTTACAAATCGTTTATACACTCTCTTGTCTTCTATGTACCAGAAACAGAAGTCAACACATTTTGAAATTCCAACATCATGTCATATATCTATATGAACATATGCAAATGCACCTGACTTTTCCCCGACTGAATGACACACACGAGCGTAATCCTTCATAGCCGGATCAAGTAAAACTCAATAAGTAAGTGTACAACAATGTTATTTGCATTAATGTTGAATATGACATGTTTCGACCAACAGAACAAAAGTTCAGCAACTAGTGTAAATTGAAATACACCTGATGATGACCCAATAAGGGTCGAGACATGTTGTGTTCAACATTAATGTAAAAACCTCGTTGTCCTATTACTTGTATTGTTGTGATCATGGTTACAAATATATTTTTTCGAACGACACACAACAAGACACAACACACAAGGGCAGTAAAAGTAAATGTTAGGTCTCATATTGTATTGAACTTTAATTAAACAGGAATATTTCGCCTGAACACAAATTAGTTCTTGAAATGGCTTGCAATACAACTGTCCTCTAAAATACTAACACAATGCTCGTTGAAATTCAATGGGAAGTTGAGTTTATCGTCTAAAGAAAAAAACAATTTCTGTATGCGTTCTTATAAGAAGTTAACATTCCTAACACCCAATAAAGCAGCGTTTTTAAGCCACTTTAATACCAAATATTTTGTAACCCAATGCATACTGAGATATTGTACTGCAACAACAGTACCAAGGACAGCAGTGTCATATATTACTGTCATCTTCTCTTCCTATTTGAAACTACTACCAATTCTGTCATCTTCTCCAGCTAATTCATGATTAATATACAAACTACAGAATAACTCGCATTTTCTGTCACCTTCTGTTCCTATTCGTGACTATTAACAACTCCGAGATATTTGAAACGTCTTTAACGGTGTTCTGCGATTAGGGTCTCTGGAACCTCTCCGTCTTCCCAAGTGTTCCGCAGAAGTCATGTTTCCTACTTTCCGATTAAGTTCTTTCGTGACCTGGTTGTCACGTGTCCCCCCCCTTTCATTCCCTTCGTACTTCTGCCGGCCTTAGGGTCGGCCTCCTTCCCCTGATAGCCGTCGAGTGGGCAGGCAGTCGCCCCTTGTCTTCGAAAATTAAGTTTCAGCTTAACTGTTTGATCTGAAATTCTGTCTTGGCCGTTTAGCATGGCGTTCGGGGAAAGGAGCCCTCGCGGGTCATGGTAAAGTATTTGGCTCGTTTGCGAGGTAAAACTGTTTAGTTTGTATTTTATTACTTACGTAAGTATGGTTTGGAAAAGTTAACGTCGCATGTGCGACCTTCATTTCATTCATGTTTGCATTATCCCTTGTGGGACAGTTTGTATTATTATTATTTCTNTAAATTACCAGTTTGTGTTTCCCGGTTTTCTACCTTCGAGATCCCTACTACACCACGTTAGCAAGCACGCTGTTCCTCTGCCCGGACGGTGCACCGAATGGTAGCAGAGCTAGGATTTCTGTTTACCTGTGACCAGACGGTGCATAGAAATGGTAGCAGAGCGTGATTTTCAGTTTACCTGTGACCGGACGGTGCATGTTCTGCAACCACAATTCAACTACGGTACATAACGACATAATGGGTGGGTCCCAGAAGCTGTCTGCACGATGTGGGGAGGAGAACAATTTTGTCCATACCGGGACTTGAACTGGGACCCCTAGGGTGTCCAGCCCGTAGCCAGTCGATATATCGGCTCCCTAGAAGCGCGCCATTGCTCAAGCGGTTAGTCGCTGGCTTCCCACCGCGGAGACTCGGGCTCGAGCCCGAGTCTAGTTAAGTGGGATTTGTGGTGGACAAAGTGGCGCTGGGGTGGGTTTTCTTCAAGTACTTCAGTTTCTGCTCCCAATCTTCATTCCACCAAATTCTCCATCGTCATAATCATAATAGGCCAGTCAGTGGCCGACGTGCCGAGTGGACCCAGCTGGAATACACCCCCCACTAGGCGAATTTAATCTTAATGTTTAATTTATCGGCTCCCTAATTTTAGTGAAGAGTCCAGTTTATTAACGTCCTCTTGAAGCAATTTCATCCGCCCTTTATTAATTCCTTTCTTAGGCCCAAATATTCTCCTCGGGACCATGCTGTCCAAGTACGAACTAGTGACGAAATACAAGTGACATAGGTAGGCTTAAATGTATGGTAACTTTCACTAAAAGGGAGATGTATATGGTTTCCAAGCGTCATCTTCACTCACCTAAGTGCCTCCCTGTAGTGTCTAGTGGCCAGATCCAGCTGTCCCGTGTCCCTCAGGAAGTTGGCGAAGTTGTAATGCAGTTTGGCGTTATGAGGAAGCGCCTTCAGGCCAGCTCTGCGAAAAAAAAGTACACCGAAATTAACTATTCTATTCTTCCATGTGTAACTGTTGCAGCGGGCACATCTTTAACGAGTCATTGCCTAGCAACGGCCTGGGAACGTATTTACCAAGCTGTTGCCTAGTAAACCTAGGAGAGACACAGATATAACAAGGTGATCTCTTTAGCATCTTTCTAATTTTCCGAAATAAGGAAAGAATGCTAAAAATACAAGAAGTTCTTGGAAAAAACAATCACGAACTTTCCTTTCATGCGACACCGAACGCATAGAAACCGTGTCCAACAATTCCTCTGCAGCTGTGCGTGTATTCGTTACCGCGGAAACGTGTTTACCAAGTCGTTGCCTAGCAAACGATAGAGGGATATAAATACAAACTCACAAACGCAGGGAAAAGTCTGTAAGTTAGTCATGATCTGCTCTGTAAAGCCTGTACTATAACATGTTATATGTGCGAAATATACACTTGAAGAAAGGCCAAGCGCTTTCATCAGGGACAGACTTCTCATCTCGTCAGAGAGGATGTTACATAAAGACTATTGCCGCAAAGTTTAGTTGGGGAAAAAGCGTCTCTGGTTGTGGGCCTCAAGGGGCTGACGCCAAGATGAACTGATTGGCTGTAGACCGCCAGTCGTAAAGTAACTCTGACTCAGGGAAAAGTAGTCGAATGACGGGACGATTACGTTGTGCATAAAAATGGGGCAAATGTCTCTCTCCTTTAAAGAGAAACCGGCGATTCTAGGAAGTCTGTATATGTAAAATCCCTCCGAATTGTTGTTTCTAATGAAAAAAGAGCGATGGACAATGTTCAAAATCTCAAAAACTGCAATCTATTACAAGCCGAATTTCTGTGATTTTTAAAGCTTTTTAAAATAAATCACAACTGTATTATTCAAAATGAAAATGGAGAGTGATGGTAGTGTTGCAAAATTGAACTTGTCATCTTGTCTTCGGAGATAGGGGCTAGCTCTTTCTATTGGACCCAACTGAGTAGGTTTTACCTGAGGATGGGGACAGAGTCCAGCCTCCGAAACGTTGTATTTTGAAAAAGGAACGGGATAGTTTTTAAAAAATAGACAAGGCGATGGTTAATGTCCAAAAAACATAATGCCTTGTTCACAAACATTTAGATCTTATCTCTTCGGAAGCTCGCTGAAACAGACGGTCGGTACTCTGAAGTCACTGTCCATCCCTTGCACGGCCATCTGCGACTAGCGTGGGGAAAAGGAACTAATGTCCCACCAATCCATGCTAAATTTAAGTAAATATCGGAAAGCTCAACATTCGGCTCAATCCTAGGACTCTCACCATGATGAAACGTGTGGTAGCTTAACTCACAGCTCAGTCCTAGGACGCTCACCAGGATGAAACGTGGGGTAGCTTAATTTTTTTAATGCTAGTGGGGTGGGACTAAGACCCTTGTACTGCGGCCACTTCTGGCCTATTGTACCAGCCCCAGATGATAGGTGAGGGTGACTGTGGAGCAACTGGTGGAATGAAGATTGGCAGGGGAAACCGAAGTACTCGGAGAAAACCTACCCCAGCGCCACTTTGTCTACCACAATTCCCACTTGATCAGACCGGGGATCGAACCCGGGCCGCCGCGGTGGGAAGCCAGCGACTAACCGCTTGAGCTATGGCGCGATCGTGGGGTAGCTTAACTCACAGCTCAGTCCTAGGACCCTCACCGTAATGAAATATAGGGAAGCTGAACTCACCTGATGAGGGCCTGCCTGGACGCCCAGTCCCTGTTCCTGGCCACAGTCCGCCCGCAGAAGACGAGGAGCAGCAAGATGCCCGCACACAGCAGCAGAGACCTCTGGCGGAGGAACACNTAGTCACAGCGATCTACGTCACTGCACCCTCAGAGATGTCTGAGACATAGAATCCTCTGCTTAATTCTGCTGAGAAATAAAAGGACTCATTTTGGTAGCAGCTACACTGATCTTGAGGGTCCTCACTCAGACACAGGCAAAAAACATTAATTAACTGGACCGATTTATTAGCCCTGCATGCACCGTCTGCTTGAACACGGGGGAACTCTGCATTCCGCGCACACACCGCATTTGTGTGTCTCGTATGGTTCTTACAGTGAACAGTGATAATTTCCCTAAACAGCGCTAATCCGTTAAGTTCTGTAGAGGAGACACATTGTTTTACCTGTGAGGTACGGACTAAATTATTTTATAATGTGGCATGTAGACCCGTTAAATAAGCAGCTATGCAACAGCCGGTGCTAGGTAATGACTCTGTAAACGACGGCTGTTGGTATGTAATGGCCGCAACAGATTCGTAATATGCAACAATGGAGTAACTTGGAAGCAATGCTCCCTGCGTGGTCCGTGCCGAGCTGTTATAACCAGGACAAGTTTAGAGTTTAATTAGTAGTTGCAACCCGTGTGGATGCGGGGTCGAATACCTCCACCGTGACCCTAAGAGTCGTAGGAGGCGACGAAAAGGGAAGTCTCAAATCTGATAGAGTAAATTATGGTCGCTAGTTCCAAGTGACTCGGGCCCGAAAAAGACTGCGCTGGCAAGCGCCAGCAGCATATACAAAAGGGAGACCCGTTCTCTCGTCAGAGAGGACGCCACACACACACACACACAAAAGACAGTAACTGTCAAAGACTGACTGACTGACTCACCGTCATTCGCATTATGACTTTGACTTTGAGTTTAATTAGTTGTGAGACATTCGCCGGCCAGTAAGGACGTGAACACGAAAGTAGAGCAAGCTACGGCGTTGGAAGCCGTTAGCAGGTGGCAACCGGTGAAGATACACCAGACTGAGAAGACATAGTGTGTTGTGAGGACGCGCCATAGCTCAAGAGGTTAGTCGCTAGCTTTCCACCGCGGCGGCCCGGGTTCGATTCCGGGTCTGGTCAAGTGGGATTTGTGGTGGACAAAGTGGCGCTGGAGCGGGTTTTCTCCGAGTACTTCGGTTTCCCCTGCCAATCTTCATTCCACCAAATTCTCCATCATCATAATCATCCGGGGAAGGTACAACAGGCCAATCAGTGGCCGCCGTGCAGAGTGGACCCAGTTGGACTCCACCCCCCACTAAGCGAATTAGTGTGTTGTGTAAGTACTTGTGGTTACGTTCTGCAAGTTTCCAATAAATCCAGTTACCAATCCAAACTCCTTCTATAGTCACTAATATATGTGATAATATTATTTTAAAAAATCGGCCTTAAATGGTTAATATGGATCTGACTTTGCATTAATACGGAATATCGCCACAAGGTGCACAACCTGTGACCGTTGTCCCACTTAAAACAACTTCATTTTCTTTACAAGAGGCTTGCTTTTCAGAGGACAACATTGAAACATCCAAGTACACCTACCACTGCCGATGTTACCTCATCATGCAGGCAACACAGAGGCAGCATACACTTACCTGGGGATATACAGGACCCTCTCCGCCACTACGAAGCCCACAGTGACCACGAGGTTCGCTGCAGGTAGGAAAGGCAGCACCAGGAACAGCGTCCCGAGCAGCAAGGGCGGATGTTTCTGTTGCTGGAAACAAGCGAAGCCAATTTGAAACACAGAAGTGAAAACCTGCTTTATTATAGTGGTAACTGAAACGACGAAAGGGGTTATGATGAATTACAGTTAATTTACATATTGTATAATTTAATTACCTTAGCTCAGCCTTGTTTAGTGTCGGGTTTAAGAAGAATGAGTGGAATTTTACCTCCATTCATGCCACGGTGCTATAATACAGGGCAATTTTCGGCATATTTTCCTTATTAAAAAAATAAGTGCAGGCTTATGCTATCTCCATGCTGTCTGTGTGTTTGTGTATACCCTTATCAACTTTTGGATGACCGAACCAGACTTTATGAAACTTGGTATGTACCGGGTGTCCGGATGAATGGTATCCAAAATAAAAATTTATATCTCAGAGACTAATTAACATACACGTATCCGATTTATGTCATCGGAAAGGAAAACTCTGAAAGTTTTCTTTTTCATGCCCGGTTTACGCGCAAGTGCGTCCACTTTTCTGCCACCATGTTAGGAATCACTTGGAAAGAGTGATGGCTGGGGGATAGTAGATCGTCAGAAGTGGTTCCATCGCTTGGCCCCTTAGGTCGCCAGATTAAACGCCAGTGGGTTTTTTCTTGTGGGGTTATGTGAAGAACATTGTCTACCGGGTTAAGATCAACGACCTGCAGCACCTGAAAGCCGCATAAGGGACGCTGTGGCTACGGTAACACAAAACTTGCTTCAAGCAACGTGGAACTAGGTCGAATGTCGTCTGGATATTTGTCGTGCCATCAAGGGAGCCCATACTGATATTTACTGTGAAAGCTATACTCTCAGAAAACATAGCTTCCCTTTGTAGTGGTGTAACCCATAAATATATATAATAAAAGCTTTCTGAGATATAATTATTTTATTTTGAATACCTTTCACCCGGACATTCTGTATATCATGGCACCTAAGCCCATCTCAACGGCGTACTTCATGCATCCCTCTCATCAGTCTATGTCTATATATGTATTCACCTGTCGTTGCTAGGCAACGACTCGGTAAAAATACCCCTATCGTTGCTAGGCAACGGCTCAGTAAAATCGTTACCACGGCAATGATTACATACACAAAAATAGAGTAACTGTTAGACGAGTCGTTTTCTATGCGCTCCGCATCATATCAAGAAAAGCAGGAGCTTAGTTCTTCCCAGAACTTCTTGTAATTAATATGAGATGTACGTTACGTAACAATTTAAATTTCAATTATATTTTAAAATATATTTGTCAACGATGAAAGAGAATTTTAATATAAGGTGAAGGTTTCGTGCAAGACTGCATTACAAAGTCCATGTGCAGAAAGAGACCATGCCGTAGCATTCTATGTTACGAAGAAGCCGAGGACGTCTTAATTATTTCAATCACGTGATCGTAATGCAATTCTGATTGTCATGACCGAAAACATCAAAGGTAAATCTCTCTCTTCCAGTTCGTCTCTTTACATTCCTTTCCTTAACATTAAGCCCCATTACTTCATTTCCTCTCGCTCTCTGTTTAACCCCGCCCTCATTTCGTCTTTGTCTCACGCTACTTCTAATTAAGCCTATACTCAGTGTGTAATTTTCTGTACACCTCCCCCTCTCATTTCCATGACACAGTTCCCTCCATCTCACCTGGCTAGCACGGCACAGACCGCAGAATATTCCTTCTCTTTGTTCCGTATGGCGCAGAAACAGCACAGATTTCTGTTTGCATAAGGTTCTCTCCATAATAAAATGAAAAGGGTTTCACATTGCATGAATGTTATTAAGCTCATATATTCAATAATCAATCCAATATCAAATTCCTTATAATAACAGTGGTACTGTAAACTGCTACCTTCACGTTTGCATGTTATTTTTAAATTGGAAGAGGCAAGACCAAAGGCGCCGGTCACGGTAGCCGAGCGGTCTAAGGCATGTACTGTCTTCGCTCGCATGGAAACCGGGATCGTGGGTTCGAATCCCACTCAGGGCATGGATGTTTAGTTTGCGTGTGTGCGTTTTTATGTGTTTGTGTACAGTTAGAGGCCTTGCGACGAGCTGATCACCCGCCCAAGGAGTCCTACCGAATGTGTAAGATCTAGAAAAACCGAAGTAAACGGAGAAGTTCATGGAGGTAGGCCTAGGCCCACTCGGGCTGTAGTGCCAAGGAAAAATAAAGACAAAAGGCAGTACGAAAAAAGTAGTAAGATGAAAATTAGGCTGATTCTGAAAGGAACAGAAGTCAAAGATAAAGGTAAAGAAGACCCTACGCTTAATTAATTAAGCATTACGCCGTTATGACGTATGAGAAAGTGGAGGTATAGCTCCAGCATTCTTGATCTCGGCACTAGATGGAGGTCAGTGGTAAGTTTCACGCCCCTACCGCTTTACCTCCGGGATATGTGACCCTGTGAGGCCTACAGCCGGTCTGGACGCTGTGGAGTTGAGAAAAATCTTTTGTTCCTGCGAGGAATCAAACCCTGGCTCTCCAGGTCGTGGCCTATCGCTATACTGACTGAGTTATCCCGGCTTACGTACGGTGTGAGTGATTCTTAAAGTACAAACATTGGGGCAGTTGAGAGGATTTTTATGAAAAGAAATATATTCCTGGGAGAAATTTTGCAGACAGGCGTATGAATTAAGATTATATGCCTCTGTACAGAGAATTAAGTTACTCGGTGGGTGATAACGTAGATTTTAGAGGAATGCTGTTCAAGGACAAGTAAGCAATCGAAATTTCTCTGGTTCTACTCAGGCACTTTGTGTGGCGTAGAGAAAAATCTCTTGCTTCAGCCAGGAGTCGAACATAGGCCGTCCAGCTCGTATCCGTCACTGCACCCACTGCAGTTCTTGCAGTGGGTAAGCCCCTTGAGACATAGGCCTCAAGCGAACCAACTGTAACTGCCCGGATGTTAGACGAGAGAACGCTGCATTGGCACGGGAAAGCTGAAGTACTTGCTGATGAATCTGACTTGGAAAGAAACCTGACTCAGACCTGCTACAGCAGGTCCCACATAAACTGCCCTGGGATGTAATCCAACCCTCCCCGGTAAGAAGCCTCAACCCTGTCACGGCCCAGTATAATAAATGTATACAAATAAAAATGGAGGCAGTTTTCCGTCGAAAAAAAAGTCTTTCTAGCCTACTTTTCTTATTAAAAATAAAAACGAGGTTCATGAGAAAACTCTGTTATTATTCCACTCACAACGTATTTCGGAGCGGACAGGCAATCTTAAGCTGATAGGTGAGAAATATGAAAAGAATGACAAAATTCTATATAAATACAACTCTAGAATAAATATGAAAATTTGTTAGTTTTATAGAATTCCGTATATTTCTCACGTATCACCTGATGATGGCATATTTGGGTCGAAACATGCTGTGACTGAAATAATGAAAAAGTATTTGTTTGTATACTGATAAGATCTCTAAATTTTTATTTATAAACACTACAAACAGGTTGCAACACTACAAGATATGAAATTTATATTTTGCTACTTGCAGGGTGGTACGCGTGACTAAATGACGGGTTCTATTCCGGATGATGGATTTATTAGCAACTTGGTTACAACCTCTCTTAATCACGCTTAAATTACAGGAAATACAACGCTATCGCTGATTTACAGACTTTCCAGCACACCGTTGCACACGCACTAGAATTCTCCGTCTTCACTAGTCGTCTCCTGGTAAAGGGTCTTAACACAGAAACTGGAGCTTCAAATCACTCCAAGTATTACACATAATTAAAGTCTTTGAATCACATGCCAAGCATTCACAGGCCGAACTCTTGTTCTCTTCTGTGCTAATCTGTACTCAATTAAACTTCAAAATTCACGCTCCATTCTCGTCCTTGCACTCTCAAGTGCTGAACCCTCCTGTCGCTTAAAAAACTGAAATCTGTTCAGAGTCAGAGTCAGAGTCACGTTACCACTGACGGTCAGTCAGTCTGTCTGTCTTGGTGTCGAGCCCCAGCTGGGGCTCATGACCAGATATTTCTTTTGTATGAAAGTTACTGTCCTGTCCATGTGTAGCGCCCTCTCTGACGAGAGGTCGGGTCTGTCATTTGTTAGTCAGTCTGTAGTAATTTGTCCATTGTCTGTATTTACACATATTTGCAATACATACTTATATAAATGTACAATATTTACACGGCCTCCGTCAGTCCAGGCTAGGTACAGCAGATTATGCCCTTTTATATATATAAATAAATATCCTAATAGTATTAGCTATCACGGCAGTCTAGTCACTTGAAACACAGAAAACAGCCTCTATTGTTGTAGAGGAGAGTTCACCGCGACGTTGCATAGAAACGGTGGCGGGGCGGACCGCATAGAAAACGCCATACTTCTGTTGTTGCTACGTGTATGTTGCGGACGTTACCTAGCAACGGCCTATGTTTACAGATTCACTTCTTAGCAATGGGTCTATAAGCCAAAATAGATTTTTTTTTTATTTCTGTTCAGTTAATTCAGAAAATCATCGTCAGTTGTCCGCTAATTTAGACGGTCAATTATACAACGAAAACATTATAAGAATTTTCCTCAATATAACAAACACTATAGGTCTGTGACGCTTCTTTTGTCCGTTCAAGGTCATTCAATCATTTCCTACAACTGCAGTCGTATTACTGAATAGAAGGTCTGAACCTCACTATTTGTTGTATCTTCTTACATGCAAATATAATCTCAGGAATGGGTAAAAACATTGACGGTGGGGTGAAAGAACGATGACCTTGAAAAGCCAAGGGAAATGTCCCCGACTATAGCAACGAAGGGCGGTAAAGGCCGGCCGGCCGGCGCGTAAGCCTAACGACCTTACCGCCATCTGCTAGCAGATTGTCTAGAAAATGTGGAAGCCTGAAGGTCTCACGACCCTATGGGCTTCCACGGCCTGTTACTGGGATGGCTTTACTTTCTTCTTTCACTTAGAGCAAAGAAGCTCGACAAGTGGACAACCCCTTCATGTAAAAACATGGCGCGTGGAAACACTAGGATCTATCTCTGCATAGAACCATCAATGC